TCAATTTAAGTAAAAAGTTCAATTGTGACTGAAAGTTTAAAAGGATTATGGTGAAACTTTCTGAATATTATGAAGTATGATTTGAAGCAAAAATGGTACTATTTCAAATGTGACTAGTATAAAATATATAATTGACCGTCGCTTAAAAGTATGGACAGAATATCGTATCCTCGATTCGTTGAATCGCTGTAAATGGAAATATTTCTTTCGAACAATTCGGGGCCAGCTGGAAACGTCCTGTAATTCCATTTACTTACATCAGCGCGATGATGGTTGCTAGCTCGCGCGCCGCCAGCGCAATTGAACTGTCCACGCATAACCAACCGAGCAGATAAATCGAGCGCAATTACCGTCCGCCAAATTGAATCACGCGTCGCAGCCAGATAGAACTCAGATTTCACCCTTATCGGTACGAGCTGGCTCATTATTTATCTTTCCTAACGAGATTGCTTCTGTTCCTGTCTCTTCTTTTTTTTCTTCAACTCGCGACGAGAAAGAGAGAGAGAGAGAGGGAGAACAAAACAAAATAGAAAAAAAATGGAAAGCACAAAGGCAGAAGAGAAATTCAGGCTTGGTTTCAGCTTCAGATTCAACGGCGTAAGGAGCAAACAATTTTAATTACAGTCGACCGACGGGAGTCTTCCTAATTGCATCGCGGATCCTCGAGGATCCTTTCACGTTCGCGAGTGGGCAGCGAATAATTAAAAAGAATAACGGTCCACCTATTCCGACGGGGAAAGCACGTGATACCGGACTATAGAACTTTCTGGTTGCCGGCTGCGAGTCGGCGGACACGCGCTCATCTACGGAAAATTGTAATTGGACGTAATGTCTGGCGGTGATTCCTTTATTCGGCCTTCTAGCGACCGTTTAAAAAATACTGAGCTCGCGATGATAATAATAAATATAACGGGAATAGCAGAAATAATAGAAGTAGTAAAAGGAATGCTTTCAATATAAATATAATATAAACAATAATGCTCTAATACTGATAACGTAAATATACGAATTTAAATGCAATTATCTATTATATGACTCTCAGTCACTTACGAGAATAAAACGATTAAAATGTTATTATCTTTGTCTATAGGGCCCAAATTTTAAAAGCTCGAAAAAACTTTTGCAAATGCGATATGGGATAACGAATTTGAGTAAAAAGTTCGAATGTGACTCAAAGTCATATCGTGATCTTAGGGTTAAAAGTGATCCTGTTGTCATTCTGTTGTAATTGCAGTAATTAGGATTTCGAGAATATTAATCCACAGACTATCAGAACGAGCTAGACTGTGCAGGAAACGAGAAATGTTTCTCCAGGATTAATTCTCGCGATAATCGAGCCAGGATCATTCCCATCGAACGGTCGCCTTCGTCGCGAAACGAACTCGTCCCGACTAATCTGGAACGAGTCCAAGATTTAGAAAGTGCGGCGAGTCGGACATCGGCCTTCTTCTTCCGCGGGAAGTACACTCTCGTTGTGTACAGTGCCGATCGTTATCGCGATTATAACACGCGACTCGCGTAAAAATCGCAGCCACCTACGCCGGCTGACTTAATGGAATTGAGATTAGAACTCGTCGGCGTTGTACTCCCTCGTTCCTGCACGCGCGATACGGAACAACAATACTTGTTTCAGATTATGTGGAACTCGTCCCGTAATCTCATCATTGTCCTGGCAATGGAAGTGTCGAGATACGATCGGAGATCCTAGCGCCGGTGTCATTGTTCATTGTTGCTGAAATTCTACAGAGAGATGTTTAACGCGTTGAGTGACACAGGAATGTTGAATGTTTTATGTAATATTACTTGTTCCTTGGCGAGGAAGACGAATGGCAGCAGAATTAATTATCACTGCATTTTCGTTCTTATTGTAATTGTTTTCAAGCAATTGGAACATTTCAGACTACCGCTATCAGTTTATACCGTAGTTCTTAACGCTGAAACTACCAGTCAATTTGATGTGAGTTAAATTGACCGATCTTGGAATGTTTAGTGTGCACATATTTAAATTATGCTTTTGCGAAAGATCGTTAAGGGATCTATCAAATCTCAAGAAATATATTATTCTAACTTTTATAAAGATGTAGGTAAGTAATTCCAGTTGCTCGGTGGTTTTAGTGTTGAAAAGGTAAAGACGTCTTCACCAGACTCGAGTTTCCACGATTCAGAGGCCAGAAATTAGATCCAAAAGGATCCACGCAAGCGTAAAGGTTCCCGGTTCAATCGCAAACCGTTCGGTCTACAAACAATTGAAAATATTCCTTCAGCAACATCTGCAGCTACCCTCGAATTGCCTATCGATCATAGAGCGCCATTAAGTCGGGTTCCCAGCGCGGCGGCAGCGGCGGAAACAATACGGCTAAATAGAGGGTCAGTTCCGCTGATCGCGGAAGAATGGTTGGAGTTTACGGAAGAAGTGTCCCGCTAAATCAACTTCGACGATGAAAACAGCGATAATAAACGTCGGGGGGAGGACAGTGGGATGGCGAACGAGAAAACCGCGAAAGATTGAAAAATACCGTGAACGCATGCACGGGGCGAGGGAGGTGGTAGCTGAAAAAGAATATAGAGCAGCGGTTCCCAAGCTTTTATGAGCCTAGACTCATTTCGGAGAACAATAGTTTCTCGTTACTCGCGCACACTCTAATTACTTATTAACAATCCTTTGCGATTGAATGCTGTAATGACAACGTCAAGCTTCGACGTCTAAAATTATTCAAAGTTATATAAAATAATCACTCGGATACTGAAAAATTAACACGTAATTTTCATCTTTTCTAGTATTTAAGATTCGATGCACAATTAAGACATTTGTGGAAACAATTTTTAGAAGTTTAACAAATTCTTATATGGATAGGTTCAAATGTTGAATGTTTGAAATGAAAAAGAAATGTTGATTTTTCATGATTTGCCATTTGGGAACCCCTGATCTAGGGGAAGCGGCGAAAGGTGGGAGGAGAGGAGAGAGAAAATGGCGGCAGCACGTGCCTCGGCGCTGCGCGGCGACCGGTCGAAATCGGTTCGGCGATTCCGGACAGGAAACGGGCCCGGCTTCACGGTCGATGGTCAGATCGTATCGATGAAAATTGCAATGGCCTCGCCGCGGTGAAACGTTCCAATTTCGCGAGAGAACAACGACATACTGTGCCCAGCGCACCGACGCCGCGCCGGCCGCTCGCGTACCTGGGAATCGAAACACGTTCGATCCACGTCCATTCTTCCCGCGTTTCGCATATCGCAATTGATACACGTAATACACGAGAGGAAAATTTACAGCCCCCGGTGTAAACTGTTATCGCGGACTGGCACCGCGTACACGGTAATTATATTTTACGCGAGCAGCGCGATACCGGTCGTAAGTTCGCTGAAGTTTGAACGTTAGGGAGACGACCGCTATCCTTTGACCATAGACGACTTAGACAGTACAATGGTTCCTTTATTTCTCAATGCGAAGTGTTGTAATTTATGAAATACTTATGCTGCCGTTTTTTCGAAAATGGAAGTTATGTGGTAGAAGATTCAGATAACTAATCTATCATGTGAGTGTGACGTTCATAAAAGATCGTGCATAAATTGAAATTGACAGTGCAATAATCGGTGAATAGAGTGAATATCTGTATCATAGATTTCGAAGTTTCCAATAGAACGGCAAGAACGGAATATAATAACTTCGAGGTACGTATATCTAATTGCGAGCCGCCATTCTCCGCTGGCACGGAGGCAAAACGTGGTCGCTTTAAAGTTCCTCGGTGACCCGTATTCCTTTAATACCGTCTCGGTGCTCCACCGTACGGGCCCGATATTGGCTGGATGTCATGAAAACGTTTCGCCGGGAAAAATTGCCCGCGCATAACGTAGTACCCAATCTCGTCGCGACTAACGTCGACTTCGCCCGCCCGTTGAATTCAATATCATGTAAATGGCAGCGCAAAGGGTTACCGCGGCCAGGCGGAGCGTGGCTCTGGACGAAAACCCGATCGGCCATGGCGGCGAGAGGTCGGGAGGGGTTGAATACACCCCGCAATTAAATCGAGCCACGCTCGATCGCGTAAAAAAGTTTATACCCGTTGGACGGGGTTCCGATCGTGGCCGAGGTTCCTCGAAAAATCCTCTGAGAATCGAGGTGCATCGGTGTAACGTCATTCCTTTCGACGTAACCATGGATTTCAGGGCACTCTTTCAAATTGTCCATAAAAGTCGAAGAAGTTCCGCGGCAATCCGCGAACTTTCGCCAACTTTCGTCATTTTTCTACGGCCGATCGAGTTTCGCTGGAGTGTTCGCGATTTTTGTGCATTTTATAGGGAAACTCGTATGATCGAAGGGTATCATTGAACTTGATAGGCGGAACGAGTATGAATGGAAATTACCGTTAATTATTACTTTCAATTCGACGCGTAGATCCATTAGAGCGCAACCGGTTTCTTTCAGTGATCGAAGTAATTAGCGCTCGGAATAATTTTCTGCGCTAAATGCAGATCATTTAGTGCTATTCTCGGTATTATAATGATAGAAGCGTTAAGAACGCGGAATGGCCGCAATAAAAGCGCTGCGAAATTTAGCACAGTTGCGGTACCGCGTTCGCTTTGTGCTAGAGTTTTTATGGGACAGCAGAAGTATCGTGACCAATAAACGTCCCGCTTTATTTATTGGAAGTCCATTACTGAACTGCTAGGGTTAACAAGGATACAGTAGTGACAGTTTCCTGCGGCACTCCTTTTCTGTCCTTGATGGCGGCTATTCGAGCTTAAATCCGTATCACATCGATTTACACGCGATGCATTGTTGCTTTACAGTGCGATCATTGTGGCTTGGACAATTATACATGCAAGGGGCCACGATTTAGAGGCAGAATATATAATAAATTCATTTGTTAAACGTCACACCTTTCAACAAGTGTATCTACTTCACTGAACCACCCAAACATTCATCTCCGATCGACAAAACTCAGACTCAAGGTAGAGAAAAATATTTATTCACTGTCTCCTACAGTTTATTACGTCACTTATATTTACAAAACGCACTTCCTGTCATATTTAAATTCTACGCTGTACACAGGATGGAATATGTACAACAGAAAAATATTGCTTTCTCGATCACACTAAACGAGTCTTCACCTCAGAATGCTTCCTATTTACAGTATCCTCGCGCACACGTCTTCGCGAAATCTCGTAAGCGTAGTTTCCGGATATGTATTTACATGGACCCTCAGGACTCTTTCGAGACGACGGATGGAATGGTGCTTCGGTATCTCCGACGCGACTGTACCGACAGAAATCGATTTCGTATTAAACAGACGAGACTGTACAGCCAATTGCGGTAATTGTACCGCAACAACCGTACAGTCCCATCAGTTTAATAAGGGATCGGTCTCCATCACGTTAATTTCCTCGATCTTGCACTGAACTTGCGCCTGAGAACCTGCGGCGGGCGGTTGCTGCGAGTTCGTTTCCTCGACCTCGGTCTGCGCCTCCACAGACGTAGCGGCTCGGTTGTAGTAGCCCATGTCCGCGTTGAACAGAATGTCGCTAATGGCGTGCTGAACCGCGCTCCGCGTATAGAACGAATAGTTTCTTAATTTGTTCCCGACGAACATTCCGAAACTGGAGCATTCGTCCTGCCCGAGTAACCTCCGCGACTGCGAGTCCGAGTCCAGATTCTCCTCGGTCACTTCGACCTCCGGCTGGAAGCTCATTCTCAGCGGAGGAGGCTCCATTGAGAACGTTTCGTTTATGTCCGGCGTATGCGAAACCTATAAATGCGTCCGACCAATTAGCCGACCGGATGACTCGTAATTGCGCGATGTATACTCACCGGAGTGGTAAATGAATTTGGATCCAATCGATGAACCCCCTTGTCCATAAGGAACGACAGTGAATCGAATAGGAACCAGGCGGATTTAGTATGTACACCTTGAAGAAGTTCGACGTTAGCTCTTCCCGATCATCGATCGCGTGTCCTTTCAATGGAGATCGTGTTCTTTTAGCCACGATGCGTTTTATGAATGAAATTCGAAGATACTTTAGGAAGTTAGCGGCGAAGTATCAAATTCTTTTAGTAAACATTCGTTTAGCTCATCCAAGATCGAAATAAGTTCAACAGACCTTGCCAGCTAACATCGAATCGTCCGATCATCCAGCTGGCAGATGAAATTTTGTCAAAGTGCATTCGAACAATGTTTCGTATGCGATTCAGTTTTTGGAATTCGAGATAAGACAGACACCGCTGTCGAGCAACGTGTAATATAACAAGCGATAAGGGCGAACACTGGGCGCACCTATACAATATTCATTGAACAGTTCGCGACAAGCCATCGGCAATCAGTGTACGCCGCGAAGCACAATGGCGCTCGCTGTTCATTGTAATCGGTATCGCGGCAGAAATGTTTGTGACACGTACCGCACGCTAACGTGTTGCAGCGCGTGTTGCACTACACGTTGCATAACACCGGTGCCCGAGCCTTTCACGGACCCAGCTGCGCTGGAAGGATGCCATGCGGCACGGCGAACGCTGGATCTCAGTCGCGGTAGCTTGTTTTTACTTCCGGTATTTCGGGAGCTTCTGTTACACACCGGGAGCGTGCGAGGGTTTATGAATGGGCGAATAGGGCTGATAAGGGCTGCTTGAAAAGCAGGCTTAAACTGAATTGTACGCGTTGCATTGTTTCGTATAAACGTGATCCTCGTCCGGCAAATCGGTTAACCCCAGAAAATAAACAACTACGAGATACAGTTTATAGAATGCATCGCGCAGCTTCGTCATTATTGCAATTTTCGAATGGCCCGAGAACTTTTGTCGTTTCGTTACTCGTTCAACGGGGAAATTCATTTTAAATAGAAAAAGTTAACGGTCGATCGAGCGCTTTGACGGTGAAACTTTAAAAAGTTCAAAGGGTGAAGGTAGCTGCTTTGGTAGCAATGATTGAAGGAGGCGAGAAAAATATCTAGACACCGGAGACTTCTTTTCCGTGGAAGTTAATTTTGAAGACCTGTTGAGAGGCAAGTTTACCCGCGGGTCGCGCCGCAGGTAATTTGAACCGAAGGCTGCCAAGTCGGAGCTATCGACTGCGTCAGCGACGATGGGGGTTTATGATACGTCCATCGTTGTTCAAGTAACACGGCGATTGTCCCGAAAGATTTTGTTAACCCTTCTACCTTTTCTGGTTGAAATAGAAACTTGAGGAACTGATAGACCAGAGTTTCCAATTATAAAATGGAACTCATGAAAGTTTAAAAAATCGTTTTTAGAGCATCGATGCTTTTATTATTAGTATTGCTATAAAATTAGCGAAAATTTAAAGAAAGATTCTTATACCTGAAATTAATTAATGAACAGAGAAATATTTATATCTCAGAAACTAAGCGCGACATTTTTCTTAGCGAAGGGTTGTTCGAAACGTGCATTACTGCAATATTCAATTTCCTGAAAACCATTTCTATCGCCGGATGCTACCTACCCCGTGAAATCAGTTTCATAGTACATATAAACCAGTTGATTCCTACAATACATGAAAAAATGGTCGAAACCGGAGAGGAAGTAGCTTCCCAACAATTTCATCTGAAAAGGAATTAATACTGCATGAACAAAACGTATTTTCTACCGTGTCAAGTGTGACTGTGGTTGTCGGAGAGCGAGGGTTTGAGGAATGCGCGTCTGCTGTGACGTGGCATAGTCGAGGGGCGGTTGTGAAGCTCGCATTGTGAGCGTGTGTGGGGGATGGATGAGTGTTCTCAAGCGCAGCCAGTGCGTCCTGAGAGAGTGGTCTTGCGAGAATACCGGGGGGCCGGTAGAAAATCGCGATGGTTTACTAACGAGGAAAACTATTCTGTTCCCATTCTGAGAAATCCGAAGAAAGACAATCCTCGTGAGAACAATTAACCGAACTTCAGTATTCAATCGTTCCTCGTCAGTAAAAATCCTCTTGAATCCAATCTCTCGATATTCCTAGTTCATCCGATCCTCGATGCGATACAGCCTTAAGGAGTGTTGTACGCCGTGGCGACCGTATCGTGGCTAACGGAAGACACGATTCCCATTGCAACCGAGAAACAAGTCAGCATTCGGAACATACCTTTCTCGACGCGAATTCGTTTGACTTTAATCTTTTCCCGACGGAACGACGACAGAATGCAGTCCATTTTTTTCTTGCAGTCATTAATGGACACCAAGTTATCGTACAGAACGGTCAGTTCGGCCGCTATTTCTGTCCAGGCGTCGTTTCTTTTCGATTTCTGATAGTGATCCTGGTTCTGCGGGTTCCATAGGCAGTCTTTCTCTTTGTAGAGCCTTACCAAAGCTTTCGCCATGTCCCGCGACCACTCCATGGCAAACGCCGTGCAAGATGGCGAAGAGAGCAACGCAACGACCTCGATTGTAACGCAACGTAACGTTCACGAGCACTCCGCTCCTTTCCCCGGCACGAACAGTTGCGGACTGCCTGCTCGCCGCGCGCATGCTCGGACGTCCGCCGTTCTCCCCGCAACGTGTGCGCGTAACGTTCTCGATGGTTCGGTAGAACGTCGATGCTAGCGACATTCGTTAAGCCGCGTGTGCATCGCCGGCTTAAGGCTGGCCCGTCACGCCGGCCGTGGAACGGCGAGTAAAATGGCGGCGCGCACGCCGCTCGATAGGCATTGGCGCTGAGTCTGCCGAGACTGTTTCCAACGATCGCTTAACATTCGTAGCGCAGTCGGATAACAATGCTGCATTTGATATCCAGGCTAACATTAGGGTAGATTGTGAAATAAATAAAAATATTAATGATGGTTTTCGGTAGAACAGCTCTTGGAGGAAGTAGAGGATTCGCTGATTGAGAGTCACTTAGTTGGAAGGTAGTTTGACAACCCTGTGATATGTAGGCTTTCATGCGGATAGAGCTTAACCCTTTGCACTCGGAAGGTGACTCAATCACCGCTAGATTTGACACATGAAAACTATAAAGTTTGATATTTAATGTTGAAGTTTGTATAATGCCTCGATAGAGTCAGTTTTAAAGAATATCGTCTTAATTAAATATTTCTAACGAGAAACTTCCGAGTGCAAAGGGTTAATATAGGGAATGTAAATTAATATAGTGGAACACTTAACTCTTTGCACTCGAGAACTGACTCTCAGTCATTTGATTTCATATAATAAAATTACAAAGTGTTGTATATAATATTAAGTTGTGTATAATGCATCAATACGTGAAATATTTATATAAAATAGCTTTGTTTCTTAATTTACGTATGTTCCCTCATTGGTTCGTTTCAAATAGCGTCGTCTATGCTTCATTGAAAAGTGTCGAATGTTTCTAGTGAAAGCTTCCGAGTGCAAAGGGTTAAAACTCGAACTTCATCCTTACGAATCCAAGAAAATTCACTTGTTCGTTCAATTTGATTTCCTACTAGAAAGTTATTAAGAATAAAGCATCATCGGCGAGCGTAAATACGATTCGCAAGATCAATGAAACGGCGTTCACACGGAAACACGTTACGCGTGTACGGCGCGTAAGGTTCGCCGCCCACGTTCCGAGCAGTTCGACGATCGTTTAGAACATTTGAACACATATTACCGTGTAACATGTGCGATTCGAAATTATACCGCTGTAGAAATGATTATATGGATTTAATGAGATGTGCTCTAACTTCGTCGGTAACGTTTGATTCGCGTCATGATTCGAGTGACACCCGTGGGCTGATGTTATTATTAAATTCCTGTTAGGTTCAGCGTGGTACGCGCATTGTTTTAGGAACTATTAAAACAGTATTCACTGTTACATACTGAGAAAGCGCGTATGTGGACGAGAGAATATAGATATCACTCTGAAGAGAGATAGACAGGCCAGGAGCGAGAGTAGAGAAGAACAGCCTGATTGATTGTGGACAGAGCAGCGTATGAATGAATATCGCCAAGAGGAGATAGATAAAGACTCGTATAGTAAGACGCTCGACAACATATGTGTCGTGCGCGTCTAACAGAAATAGAAGCGAACAACACAATGTACGTACGGTCATATTGAGATGACCGATAATTACATTCAGTCCGATATTACGATGGAACTAGCAGGTTCTTATGCAAATACCCATTCTCGTCGATTAAATTGAAACATTGAAATGTCAGTTTCACTGAAACTAAGTTTCAATATTTAGATGAACTTTCCTCTTCACGAGCGAGCAACGCTTCCGTTTCACCTTATTATTCACTTTCGTACGATCAATCATTCCCGCGGCGCGATACACGACGCATTTGTAAATGCATTTAGGTAACCCAATTCCTCTGGGAATGCGCGACGCCGAGAGAGATTGCGTTGCGCAAATATTTCCAAGGAATGTTCGTTTTTCAAGTGACACGTCACAGAGCGAAGTTAATTGTGCCGCGAACAATGGATATTGAATTTGAAATCCTCATATTTCACGCGGCACGCACAGTGTGAATTCAGCTGCACTTTCTACCTGGAGCGAACGGAAGATAAACCTGCAGGTCAAATGCTCTTTGTCTTTCGAAGGGGAACACTTGGTCAGCAGGTTCGCGTCTTTTCATCGCCGAAAGGGATAGAGGAACCTGTCGCTCGCCTGACTGGTCAAAAATTAAATATGCACCGGGTCTTATGGACGAGGGTCGAAAGATTTAGGCCCGCGTTAAATTTATCGATAATTCGAATCCTCTAACGAATTCGCCTGGCGATAAATTAATGGTTAAATTAGAAGCCAGTGGAAATAAAGGCGAACGTTAGTCCTGATCGTTCGAAGGTTTGAATAATGATCGTTAATTCCATGAAGGGAAACAGTGAATCACTAAAATCGACTACGTTGCCAAGCGGATGACTAAATAATTCATGTTTTAATATTCTCCAAGGGCCCCGAAGGAAATTGCCTCGCCAAATTTACACGCGCGCCTCGTTTCTAAACCGAACCGCGATATCGACCCGGCATATTCGATAAACCGATACGAATCGTTATCAGCGACATTAGACTATCGTTCCGATGTGCATTCCGGAGGAAGCCTGGATGTTGTCCTCGGAGCTTGCAATTTTCGAAGGCTCGGACAAGCGTATCAGGAAAAGGAGACGCTGCAGTGCCGTCACGCCATCGACTCCATATAATAGTGGTTCTCTCTTATCCTATACGTGACTCAATTTACTCACGCGGTGGCGCTCACGGCCGTCTTATAGGTGAACGTGCTCGTTACAAATATACGTTAGAACTTCCTCCTCCACCGACACTCGATTATATAACCCCAATCTTGGTAAAAATTTTCACAATACCACGCGACATACTTTAATTGCAATAATAACTTAACGCGGCCATTACCGTGACTAGTTTTCTTCGCCTCGTACATTGTCTCTTTCTTAGAAAATTAACTCGTTTCCTCGTCGCAATGCACGATGAACAGATTTCAAGTAATTCCTCACTCATTAGAATTTGTTCTGCTAGAAACGAAAATTACTTTCTACGAATCTATATAGACTTGTGCGAGAACGTAGTTTATATAAGCATGTATATTGTTTTGTAATCTATCGGCAACTGCAACTAATTTTCATAGTATTCCCAGCGAAAATGAGAAATGCTGTAACATTTCTTCGATCTTTTATTTTCCTCAGTACAAAATTTGGATGTGCAAATCTAATAATTTTAGGATAGTTTCTTTAAGCTTCATTAAAATATTTAATATTATAATTGGTGCAATATCGGAGCCTGCGGAGTTCAAAGATTAGTTTACTTCGTAAAGCGTGAATCTTCGAAAGCGTAAAGCCACGTCGCTCGTCACTTTGTCGACCAGTTTCACGCATTCGCTAATAAATCCCCTGATCGCATTGACCCGTGTTCGCTTGCATCAGGCCGATGCATCGTAATCGCACTTTACAAAGTAATAAGTAAAGTAGTTTTACGCTCGGAGTCGAGGCTCGCGTTTCGAGTGTCGTCGAGTGCTCACAATTACCATTGTCGCGATAGGGGACCTTGAGTATTTGCATTTCCATCGGGTCCCATATGTCGATTGGTATTTATCTCGTACGCGGATCAATTTGCGCAAATGATTGCGCTTACGGTTACGATGCGAGGCGACGTGTGCGTGTCCTATGCTGGGAACGGTAAAGCCGGCAGGGCGCAAACCTCTCGCGGCAATCTCGGCTTCGGTCTTCCAAACGAACCAGACTGCATCGCCAAGCGCCGATCGCTAATTCGAATTCGAATCACGCCTACCGCTCCGTACGTCTACGTACCGCGATTAAGTTGTGTGCTGCCCCGCAGCCGGCTGCGAAGCGCTCCGAGCACTGTTCGCGAACGCTGGAAACTCGGTTTTATCATAACTAGCGATAAAATGGAATAATAACTACAGAAATGATTGAAATATATTTACTTCCTTTGGTTTAACTTTTTTGTGAATTGTCATGCTTTGTGTCACTCGGTATTGTATTATATTATTTATTTATTTGGATTTTAATTAGCAATAGTGAGTATTTTACAGTGTATGTTTGTGAACGTTGGAAGTTCGGTTTTATGATGACACACGATAAAATAGAATAATAAGTACAGAAATGATTGAAATATGTTTACTTTCTTTGGTTTAACTCTTTTGTGAATTGTCATGCTTCGTGTCACTCGGTATTGCATTATATTATTTATTTATTTGGATTTTAATTAGCAATAGTGAGTATTTTACAGTGTATGTTTGTGAACGTTGGAAGTTCGGTTTTATGATGACACACTATGAAATAGAATAATAAGTTCAGAAATGATTGAAATATTTACTTCCTTTGGTTTAACTCTTTTGTGAATTGCCACTCTGTGTGCCATTTGGCATTATATTATATTATTTATGAGAATGTAAATATTGTACATTACATGCTAGGAAAGAGCTATAATATGTGGTGCAGATTTCATTATCCCCTAGAATAAAATAACGATACATGGAAAGAAAGAAATAATAGAATTTTCTTCCAGCACTGTGCACTCATGAAACACCGAAGCTTTCTAAAAAGACTACGATACAAATAATTACAGAGGTACAAACACTTCGATTTGTTTTTTAAGAGAACAGTCTACACACCTGGAAATCTGCGGTAACGATCACACTCGTATTATAATCTACACTTTCTGTATTTTAATGAAACTGATTATATATTTCTACCAAATTTCACATTGCTGAATCAATTCTTCGTTAATCTAAGAATGTCCGAAACAATATCGCACGCTGTTGTCCCAACTACCTTCAGAACCCCTAACACGATCGAGGTTCATCGCAATGTATCACACACGTGTTTGTCTTACGTCGACAGATAAATATTTGTAGCCCTTCAAAAAAATTGCTTCCAGCGGAACTCCCACCGAAATGTAGTTCACGTCAATCAGACGAGGCCAGGATATTTTTAAAGCTCGCGTCGCCGGGCAAATGAATGGCGCCTGCATCGGTAAATAGCGGAATGAATGAGAGGAGCGAATGCCAAG